CACGACGCCGACGACAACAACTGAATCCACATCGACCACCACGACGCCGACCACCACTACTGAATCGACATCAACCACTACGTCGCCGACCACCACTACCGAATCAACATCGACCACCACGACGCCGACGACAACAACTGAATCCACCTCGACCACCACGACGCCGACCACCACTACCGAATCCACATCGACCACCACGACGCCGACGACAACAACTGAATCCACATCGACCACCACGACGCCGACCACCACTACCGAATCCACATCGACCACTACGACGCCTGTTTTCTTGCATTCTTCTACGAATGCTTCTATTAATGTGATTCTCGCCATATGTGGACCTCGAACAGAGGTGGTCCAGAATATCCCGCTCCCGATTTAAAATAACCTCATCCCAAAAACGAAGTCGCAAAAGGTGATGCTGTGTTCTTATTCAAGTTGCACAGTAAACCATTAGGAGGGCCCTCTACCACGCTTGCCTGGTTGCCCCATTAGCAACCATAAATTGACTGATTCAGTACAAGTGTACTGTAAAGGTGTCTCAGACGGCCCTGTGGTCGTCTGAGAGGGGTATCAGATATTGCACTCAAACGGCATACCGCTCTTGCTGCACCAGTTAACATGCAGGGTAAAATTTGAGCTTCCGGAGGGTGGTAATGTAATTGCCGCGGAGAAATCCTGCGTGCTGTGTTGACTCAGGAACAAACTTCATCGCCCTAATAGTTGCGATATACGTAGACTAGATTAATGAGCATTAGATTAAGACGCAAACTGTAACGACTCTGGTCTGTTTGTTGGATGGTGATCATCCTATTTTCAGTGAGACGTAATCCACAGCAAAGTTTCATCCATAATATCCTGTTTGTTGCTCTGGATCTGGGCGACGATACCATTTCCGTGTGACGGTTCCTGGATATGATAACCACTAGAGAAAAGACTTTCAGAAATAATGTGCTATTGCTATGCTCTAAAACCTAATAAGCATCAAAATGACAAGAGAGCAATAAGTAACTGGACAATATTCTGTCGGTGATTACAATTTATTCAGTGTTACAATTGTAGTCTTATTGTAAGTAACCACACTATGAAACCTGAACATTGCTGATAGCAGAGTGACGGATCCCCATCTCAAAAAAATTGTTCCGTCGTGATGGATATATTAGAAATTCAGAGGATATTACACGATAAACGTGGGGACACTGAACTCTTTTAACCCACTTTTAGCCAGAAACGTTGTCCATTTTATCCTCTAATTTCAGCATATGAAGGTTAGCCTATAATTGCGCTCATTATGGTTATTAGTCAAGAACCTACAGTTTTTGATCTGAGTTCCAGGAGGGAAGGGGTACCTAAGTGGGTGAGTCAATTGAATATTCAACTCATAACCCATCCTAGCTTTGTGCATGAGGTAATCATCCCACACAGGTCAGGTCGGCTACCCCTCCTCTGCACTCCAGCCTTCCGTGTTGGACAAAAGCAATGCCCCCCCCCCCTCACTAACTACACTTTTCAACTTCTTGGTAAAAGTAAAGAATGAGGCAAGGCGTAAGTGCGACCCGACTGTTACAATTATATTGTAGCACAGCAAGGTGCCGTCAGTCTAGGTAACGCAACCGACCGCAGCCGTGCCCATGCGGGCCGAATTAGGTGCCTCTTCAATCTAAATACGAGCCCAGGGCGTAAGACCAAGACCAAAGTATTTAACCGGAATACCCGGAACACTTGATGACCTGTACTCAATTGCTGAAGTCACGATAGTCAGTATAGGTAGACCTGGGCGACTGAAAAAGACCGCAAGGTCAAGAAGGAACAAAAAGAAAGGAAAAAACTCCACACACGACTCGAAGATCGGGTGGCCCGAAAAAAGGGAAACTCGGACTCCAGGGCAAACAAAACAAGAGATGAACGGTGCTGTTAGTATACATATAAGAAAACACCCAGTAATCATATTCTTTTGAGAGAAAAAACACTTTGCCCAAAACACTCTGACCTTCGCAGACACTAATGTGAGGTACACAACAGCTTCCTGAAAAAACCAAACCATAGCGTGAATTGGATGCAGGAGTTGATACAACTAGGCAAAATCTTCTTCACCTAAAACTTCAAACAATTTTAATTTTTTCAATCTACAGTTGGAGACGGATCCCAAACACAAGATCTGAAACAATCCTACTGTATCGTAGAGTAGTCAAGCCCAATCGTTTCAATCGCTATATCTTCAAATCGTCAGCAGTTTAAGGTTTACAAAAGTTTTGAGCATCTCTGGTAACTTCATTGTGTAGCGGTACTCCCCTTATACAATGATGTCTATCGGAGTAAACGCATATCAACTCAACGATTGAAGTTCTTCATATCATTTTAACGATTGGTATTTCTCGCATCAACCTACCTGTTGACGTTTCTTATGTCATCTTCGCTTGAAGCATTTTTGCGTCATTTTTTTACCGTTGTAATTTCTTACATTATTCTAACTGTTTAGGTCTCTTGCGTCATCACAATGGTAGAAGTCTCTTGCATGATATACGTATTGTTGATTTGAGTGTTCTTGTATCTATTGATTGTTGTTCATGAATTAATTACCCAACTTTGAGGTACCAATAAATTTGTCCCGACAGTATCGTTACCGCGTGGCAGCAATATTCCTGATTACGACGATACATATACTTCTACACTTGCAACCACGTTAGTATATATCTATCATATGGAGACCGAGAGCAAGCTCGAAGAGGAGCATTTTAGCCGAACATGTCCAAAATAGAGGAACTGTAATACATGTATGTAGTGCAACTATTTTGAGAATACTTTCGCCTACTGTGATTTTCACCGAGTGAACCAGCTCCTCCTCTTATCACATTTTGCTCAAATGTATGGTGGATCGTCTCGACCAAGAAAATATTCATCCGAATAACGAAATGCACAGCTGCCATCGCGGAAGGAAAAGTAGGGAAAGATTCTCTTAAAGTTCTTTTCCTCAAATTTAGAAACACTCAGGAGATGGAGTTATTTCTTCTGGCACAAATACAAACGAAAACGTGCCCATTAGCAAAATTCTCAACTATTTCCAGGGGAGTCAGAGCTTAGGTCGCACTCAAAGTTTGAAGCCGATTTCTAGGGGAGAAATTCTTTGATGAAGAATGTGTAATTCTTGAAGGAGAGTTCATCGTACACAAGGACACGGCGGAAAACCGATGCCCATCGTACACAAGGACACGGCGGAAAACCGATGCCGACACAAAACCGCGGCGCGGCGGAAAACCGATGCCGACACAAAACCGCACCTCGAATATAGATAGATAGATAATAGATAAGGAAAGGGAACTGCTCCCTGCCCCTCCCCTTCAGAAATAAGCAAACGAAAATATTCTGCAACAAAATTACACTATAGTTGAACTTGTTCAATTGAAGTGAAAAACACATCAGAAAAAAAGTTATGCTTTCCAAGTTTAAGAACTGAGAACTCCCAAAAGATTTCAGAAACTGAAAACATTCTCTCGGTATTTCGGTAAGCGTAACATAGAAAGCTGAAGGACAGGTAATTAAAAACAGGACTAAAAGATCAAACTATGAAGTACGCAACCACTTATCGAAAATGCGATCAACAGATCAATCAGTTCAACGATCGACAATAACGAAGGAAAGGAAAGTTTGAAAGATGTGTACCGCTGTGTTTTTAGGTATATGTATCATAATAAAGTACTTACATCATTATTCCAACACAGGTGTTTTGAAGGCCCGTTGAATAAAAATTCTCAAGCTAAGGGAGTGACTTTTAAGGCGTACTCTACTCATAGTGAAAACTAATAAGGATTTTTCCTTTCACAAAATACAAAACATGCCATTTGTTTTAAAACATGTACAAAGCTTTCAGTATACAACTTGTTTTGACTTTATGTTTTGTTAACTGCTGTTTTAACGCCGCAATTCGTTTTGTTTTTTGCATTTTTTTGCGTTTTTTGCAGTTTTGCCTACAAATCGCCAATCTCGTAAGTCTTTCGCTTCGCGCACTGCGGCGTTAAAACAGCAGTTAACAAAACATCAAG